CGGGCCGGGGGCGGGCCCCGGCTGGGTCGGGCGTCACTGGGTGGCGCGGCCCGCGGCGGGCCCGGGGGGCGAGGTCGCCGGCGAGGTGTCATGGAGGGCGCCTGCGTAATGAAGTGCTCATCCACTAGGCCGGGGGACCGCGGGGGGCCGCCGGGGGCAGGTCGCGGTCCTGTCCTTGCAGCGGAGGACGAAGTTCGGCCGGGAGGGGTCGCAGTGGTTAGAGAAAAAGATATAAGAAAATGAGGGTGATTCTTTGGGGGGAAGTGGGGGGGGGGGTTGGCTAACGAACGATGCGACCTTACGTTGCCAAAGCAAAATGCGGCTGATCGAGTGGACCGATCACTTCTCGAGCCAGTTTGTTCCCGTGTGCATCAGGAAGACAAATTAATGTGGCACTACTCTGAATTCGCCAACTGCAGCGCCCGCGTGTGAGACTCCTCTATGTCTTATCTTTTCACTCTGCCATACGGCTTCGACCCCATTTGCGCGGACATGTCGGGAATTTGTCGGTACATCTAGTCGCGTCTAGTCTAGTATGCTGATGATGCTAGGCTCTCACTGACATCTAAAGTGGTCTACTGGCGTGCATGTAAAAGGGTTCAATACCGTGTCGGCTACTACACTGATAAACTAAGTGTTCAACTGCTTAACACCTGCAAGTGTGCGACTTCCCTCTCCAACACTTCCGATACGCTAAGCGCTAAGCGTTTGATCTGCCAATATATTGGCGTCATAAGACACATAAGACCAAGACCAGTTTAAAGTGCAGCTACGGCGTTGAATACTTGCATACGTATTCAACTAGCAGTTGTCCACTTACAAGTGTTAAGCCATTGCACACTTGGTTTATGAGTACACTTAAACAAAAAGTGTGCAACTGACATGCCCATGCAAGTTTTCAAAGTATGGTGCACACTTTAAGGTGTTGTGTTCGGCTGGAGATTTGAATCCTTCAAAGTGTTTTGCAGTAAATTTAAACTCTTTAAAATTTCCAAATCTGCATGACCAACCCGAAGTTGAACACTTTTAAGTGTTTAACTTCACTGTTAAAAACTTTACAGTACACAAACATATAGTTAAATGTAACACTTAAAAGTGTTCAATATAGTGATGAGCAATTGCATGTGCATGCCAGTTTGCACACTTTATTTATCAGTGTACATGTGTTCGACTGGGAATTTATATGTGTGCTACTATTAAAATACAAAGTAGTTGAACACTTTAAGGGCAGGCTACACTGAAAAATGGCGGTTCTTGTCAAAATACCGGTCGTTACGTAATGTTCGATGTTTCACCTCTAAACCCTGCTGCATCCTTCAAACTTTTTTTACTTGCTGTACCGTTATTAAATTCAGTTCACAATACGGAACTAATGTCAGACTGAGAAAATTAGTTTTTGCGGTTTATTTAGAACCCTGTTTTCCAACGTTCCAAAAATCCCTTGCGCATTTGGTTTTGAGCTATGATGTTGAGGATTTGTGGAGATCTACTTTGAAGTACCCTTAACACTTTCTATTGACCATAATTACACATTTCATTTGATTTTTGTAAGCAAAAAAATAAATAAGCCGTAATTTTCATTAT